AACCACCAACAGGAAGTAGCGCTCGTAACCCTGCCCACGGACGGGGGCTGGGCCCCACACATCCATGTGAAGCGTCTGCAGGGGAGCCTCTGTCGGGGGGAAGTGGGAGGAGTGAGGAGTAGCCCGGAGGCGACCCTCGACACAGGGGACACAGGAAGGTCCTGGCCCTGAGGGGAGAGGAGGGAGAGACTGGGGAAGACCAGAGACAAGGACACGGGAAGCCATGCTCCGAAGACGGGGCAAGGAGGGGTGGCCAAGACGGTGGTGCCACAGAAGAGTCTCGTGAGACAGGAGGCGACAAGAACAGGGGGCAGACTCAGGACCTGACCGGGACGCAGCAGCAAGCACCTGACCCGACGCAGCCACCTGACCAGACGCAGGGACAGGAGGAGACTCAACGGTCAGGGTGTAGAGACTCGACCCCGGCCGACGCGAGAACGTGGCCAGGTGTCGGCCTGTGCGTGCCTCCGTGCAGTGGGTCACCCGCTGACTCGCAGGAGTGAACTGGTGAACCCCCACATCCTGCAGGTCCGCTCCACTCACCAAGTTCGTAGAGAACGAGGGAAGATACAGACCCGACAGGGTGCCCGAAGGGGCAGCCGGACACGGGAGGACAGTGGAGAAGTGAGACAGGACAGGACCCCCAGAGGGGTCAGCAAGGGAGACCGCAACCGGCCGGCCGAGCGGCGTAAGGGTAGTGCGGTCTCGAAAGAAGGAGCGAGAAGCTCCGGAGTCAAGTGTGAAAGTGAGGGAGGACGAGGACGACGCAGTACTTGAGAGCGCAGTCTCACCAGTACCTGAGAGCACAGACGCACTGGCACCTAGAGCAGCAGCCTCACAAGCACCTAGCGCAGCAGTACCAATGCCCGGGTCGGGCTGGAAACAACGGTAACCCTCATTCTCCTCACTATAATCCACAACATACATAGCAGCAAGGATAGCATCAAAATCAAGATCAAAGATCGCTACACCAGCCCTGAGAAGCTCATCCCAGCGAGGGATCTCACTAGCCCCAGGGAACTGCTGACGCCAAGCGTCCGTCAGGCGGCCAAAGCAGCGCTGGGTGGCGTGGGCACCCCCACACTGCTCAACCGCGCGGTCGCCGGAACGAAGAACGTAGGTGCAGGGACCAGTACCCCCACCCCTCTGACGCCCAGCGTACCACTCACGAAGCTGCTGAGGCGGAGGGATGTCCCGCGAGCGCTGCTGCTGCTGCCGCTGCGAGCGCTGGCCACCACCACCGCCGCTACGCTGCTGGGTACCACCTCGACCAGCTCCACCTCCTCCACCACCACCGCCTCCTCCGCTGCCGCCTCCACCGCCTCCACCTCCGCCGCCTCCACCACCGCCGCTGCCTCCACCACCACCGCTGGCACCACCACCACCGTCTCCGCCACTGCTGCCACCACCACCACCACCTCCACCACTAGTCCCGCCGCCACCCCCACTCCCTCCGCCGCCACCGCCGCCACCGCCACCGCCCCCTCCAGCTCCACCCGCGCCCTTGCCCCCCTTGCCCTTGCTGGAGCGACGTCTCCCACTAGGGGCAGACGCCGCGCCGACCGACTCAAGACCAAGCAGGTCGGCAGCAGCAGCAGAGGCAACAGAGGGCAGCAAGGGGGAAGGAGAGCACCCCTCAAAGATGGGGGTGCGAGGGTCACCACGAGAAGCACCTACAGCGACTATGCTCTTCTCCGCTGCGAGGAGGGCCTTCTCGAGGAGGTCGACGGTGAGGGTGGTGGGACAGACTGCGAGAAAGTGGTCCCTGACGACGCGAAGGGAGTCAGGGAGGCGCGCGACTACGTAGTAGAGAGCGATGTACATGGGGGGGGGGTTCTTAGCGCAGAACTCAGCAGGAAGGGCGGCGCGGTAGCGAGTGTCACTAGTGCGGAGGTGCGTAATGAGGTCAGCGACTGTGGGAAAGGCAGAGAGGTCAGGAAAGAGGTAGGGAAGCATGAGACGGCTCAGTGCAGCAGTGGCAGGGGAGGAGTAGCGCGCAACTACAGCGTCGTACAAGGTCTGAGCACTCTTGTACTGACTAAAGTGCGCACGCTCAGAGGTAGGGAGGTGGCGACGCACAGCAAGACGTGCAGCAGCATCGCGGGTGGCCCACTTAGAGCGGACAGCGGGATCAGCATCAGCAGCAGGAGCAGGAGAGGCGCCAGAGGTGAGGTCAAAGAGAGAAAGGTCGTCAGCCCTGTCGCACTGTAAGAACAGCTGCAGGTCGTCTAACCAGACCTCAAAATCAATGGCGCGACCCTCAGCGTCAAAAGCTAGGACACTAGGGGTAGCCATGGCGACGACAGCGACGCAGTGCAAGCAGTAGGGAAAGAGCTCGCAGTGTCAGTGGGACAGTGCTCACCAGGCAGGGCAGGTCGTGCAGCTATGCAGAAAGGCGGCTCAGCGACCGGGCGGCTCGGGTGCACAGCGGCTCGGCTCCCGGGCGGCTCGGCGGCTGGGCGGCTCGGGCGCAGGGCGGCTCGGCTCCCGGGCGGCTCGGCGGCTGGGCGGCTCGGGTGCAGGGCGGCTCGGCTCCCGGGCGGCTCGGCGGCAGGGCGGCTCGGGTCCCGGGCGGCTCGGCGTTGGGCGGCTCGGCTCCCGGGCGGTTCGGCTGCTGGGGCGGCTCGGCCGGGAGATGCAGGGGCGGGGCCGTCAGGTGCAGCGGCGGGTCGACCGGTGTAGTGGCGGGCCGGCAGGTGCAGCTGCGGGCCGGCAGGTGCAGCGGCGGGCCGGCAGGTGCAGCGGCGGGCCGGCAGGTGCAGGCGGCGGGCCGGAGGGTGCAGGCGGCGGGCCGGAGGGTGCAGCGGCGGGCCGGCAGGTGCAGCGGCGGGGCCGTCAGGTGAGGCGGCGGGCCGGCAGGAGCAGCGGCGGGCCGAAGGGTGCAGCGGCGGGGCCGTCAGAGGCGGCGGGCCGCTGGGTGCAGCGGCGGGCCGGCAGGTGCACCGGCGGGCCGGCAGGAGCAGCGGCGGGCCGGCAGGAGCAGCGGCGGGGCCGTCAGGTGAGGCGGCGGGCCGGCAGGAGTAGCGGCGGGTCGTAGGGTGCAGCGGCGGGCCGTAGGGTGCAGCGGCGGGGCCGTCAGAAGCGGCGGCGGGGCCGCGGCAGTAGAGGCGGGGCCGCGTCAGGGGAGGCGGCGGGGCCGCGTCAGGGGAGGCGGCGGGGCCGCGTCAGGGGAGGCGGCGGGGCCGCGTCAGGGGAGGCGGCGGGGCCGCGTCAAGCAGGCGGCGGGGCCGCGATCAGGAGAGGTGGCGGGGCCGCGTCTGAGGGACAGCGGGGCCGCGAGGGAAAAGGCGACCCGAGGGGTCGCTAAAAAAAAAGGGCGCGCCTCGGGGCGCGCTTCGGTGGGCCCTAAAAAAAACGGTCCTAAGGCAGGACCCGCTCTATACCATGTGAAGCAAGGAAAACAGGAATGAGAATGACTAAGTCAGAGTTGGGTACAAATACAACCCTAGAAAGCTGTACCCCATATGTGCTACCCCACTATAGCCTACAAACATGCATCAGTTATAATAATCCGACACACTGGGCACGCGGACGTTTCTTGGGCTGACGACCAGGCTACGCAGCGGTCGTCACAGGGTTACACCTTCAGCCTTGGTTCCGGCTCTGTTTCGTGGCGGGCTACTCGCTCGTCTTCTGTTCTCGGCTCCAGTTGTGAGGCCGAGATCTACGCCGGGGCCATGGCTGCACAGGAGCTTCGCTGGCTCACCTACCTGCTGACCGACCTTGGAGAGCCGCCTCGTTCTCCTCCAGTCCTGTACGTAGACAACAAGGCCATGCTGGCCTTGTGTCGGGAGCAGCGACTGGAGCACAGAACGAAGCACATTGCTCTCGGCTACTTTCTTGCTCGTGAGCTGCAGCAGCGTGGTCAGCTGCGTCTTGCGTACGTGGCCTCCGAGGCCTACACTGCTGATATCTTCACCAAGGCGCTTGCGCCTTGTGACCATCAACGCTTCTGTACTCAGCTGGGCCTTGTTCCTACCTTGCCTCACTTGCTCACCTCTTGACCTTGCTTGTACTGTTACATATATATCTACACCTGCTCTTGCTTGTCTAGCCTTATATATATATGTAATCCTGCATGTGAACTGGCCTTGTGGCCTTGAACTTGTGCTCGGTATGTGTGGTGACTTTGTGATCCACCCTGAGCTTGCTTTGCTTTGCTTTGCTTGACTGGTCTTGTGACCCCTTGTTCTCCCCCACTTCGCCTATGGGGGTGTGTCAAATTATAATGTTGTCTAGGCTTTAGTGGGGTAGCCCATATGGGGTACAGATTTCTAGGGTTGCATATTTGTATCACTTTCATTCCATAGTCATTCATTCTCGTTCTACTTTTCTCACACAGTCCGTTACCGTTACCACTGTAGTTTCACTATATATTCTTCGCTCATGCCTTCGCTCATTGTACTCTTGCTTCGATAGTGCAATTCTCCACATGTCAAACTTCTAGCGGCATGCAAAATCACAAAGTTTATAGGTAGCACATGCAGTGCAGCACATTACCAGCGTGTGCCAACCAGACTCCCAGTATTGCTGGTCTAGGTAGGGTTAGTAGCAAAACCTCTTTTCTTTAGATTCGGGGGTGGGAGGTGCTGGTACTAACAATGCGGCCGTCCATGCGAACAGTTTTCGTCTGGTGACGAGGGCCGTGGCGTGGATACTGGAGTGGTGAGAGGGAGGGCGGATGGACCAGCAGCAACAGCAGCGGCAGCTGCAACAGCAGCAGCACAGGCAGAGCAGATGTGGTAGTGACTGTATGGTTGCCTGTTGAGACCAGTGAAGCAGTGCAACAGCAGAAGCATAGCAGCGCAACCAACCCATTGCCTCAGAGCGAGCAGCAGAAGCATAACGGCCCAACCAACCCATTTGCCTCAAGTGTTGGTCACTGCGAGCAGCAGGAACAGGTGGTTGAAGCGACGTTTTGAGGCAAATAAATTCTGGGCAGCAGTAGAGTAGTTTAGAGTAGCAGCCCTCTCATGCTGTTGACTTGACCGGTGTGCCCGTCAGCGCGGGCAGCAGGAGCAAGCGGTTGGGGAGGTGGTGAACTTGGCAAGAAAGAAGCCGATGGTGTCGAGGGCGTGCGAGGGGTGGAAGCTCATCACCTTGTCCTGCTCGCCCTCCCTCAACCACTCCCTGCTCGCATGGGTGGTAGGGGGAGGGGGAAGGGGAGGGGAATGTGAGAAAGGGGGGACAGTGAACGTGGGTTCACAGGGAAACGCAAGGGGAGAAAACAGGATGTGCCATATAAAGGGCACACGGGGGAAGCAGGGGGGACGTGGGGAGGGCGGGAGAGAGGGGACGATGGAGCATCATGAAAAGAAGCAAACGCACGGGATTGCCACACGAGCAGAGAAAAAGGCAGGGCCAGTCGAGTGAAACGGCATCTCATCTCGGGACAACTCAAAGGACATGCTATTCCTTGGAATTGTCACGTGCAAATTGCCACTTGCACGCGCCTCACTTGTTCTTTGGACATCATTTTCGAAGAGCATTTGTTGCCTCACTTGTTCTTTGGACATCACTTTCAAAGAGCATTTGTTGCCTCACTTGCACGTGCTGCCACCACTCACTTGCATGCAGTGCCATCCGAAACGTTCAGGCCCCCAACTAGGCCCGGTTGCCCCAGGTGCAGCTCGGGTGGCTGGAGAAAAGGCGTGGGAGGGAGCAGGGGAGGGAAAAGGAGGAGGAGGTGGGCAGCACAGGCACGATGGGAGGAAACGCAGAGGTAGAGTTCTTGACAAATGTCAGAACGGTTTTTATCAGATCAAACTGGGTAACAGCAACTGGGTGGCGGGGCTGGGTGGGTGGCTGCATTAGTGGGTGCAGGCAGTGCGTGGCTCATGGGTGCATGGGTGAATGGGTGAATGGCTCACAGGGGCGAGCAGGGAGAGGTGGGGGTAGGTGTCGAGAGTGTAGCGCACATTGGCCTCGTTCTCCCCTGGGTTGATGCTGCACCTGATGATGGTGGATGAGAAGGTCGGATAGGAGGCATGGATGATGAGTGAGGGGGCGAGGAAGGCAAATCAAACGAGATGCTGTCAACTGATGTGCGACTAGTGGTGCCAGTGTACCCAAGCGCATTGGTTTGGGCTGGGCTAAGCTGCTAGCGTCAACAACAAGAAGCCGCATTTGCTGCGCTCGACTTGGATTGCAAGAGGCGCTGATGAATGGAATGCAGCGTGCTAGAATTGATTAATGAGGTGCATCAAACATCACGTAGATTTCACGCGAGTGCAGTGGTTATAGACTGCAGGGTGCGGAGTGTGGAGACTCCTCTCAGATTCCTAGGCAATTGTGTATGCGAAGGTGCATCAACAAGAAAAGACGTCTCAAACGAGGTATACAAGGAGGAGGAGACGCGACATACGTGGAGTAGACGAGTGTGCCGCCCGGTTTGACGAGGCGCACGGCGGCATCAATGAGCCTGCGCTGGTACACCGCATTCTTGCGCAGCTCCCCCAGTGACACCTGGGGGACGTGGGGGGAAGGGGGAGACGCAGGGAAGGGAAAGGGGAGGAAGAGATTGGAGAGGAGAGGATCACTGAGATGAGCAGAGTATGATGTGGGGGGGGGAAGGGGGGAATGGGGATTCGATGGACAGGATGAACGATGAGGCGAGCATCCAAGCACAAGCAGGCTGGCACACACACAAGTGCCACTTTCCTCCTCCACTTCCTCACCATTGCTCTGTTGCACCACCCGCCCGCCCACCCACCGGGACAGACAGACAGGCAAAGACACGCACATTGGCGGCAAAGAGGCGCGGGCGGAGGCCGAGAGCAGAGCAGGGCCCATCCAGCAGCACACGGTCAAAGCTGTGCGCCTCAAAGCCCCCCTGAGCCCTCGCCCGAGCCTCCTCCTCCCCTTCCTGCTGCTCCCCCTGCCTCCCCTGCTCATCCTTCCCTCCCCTCTTTCCCCCACGTGCCCCCCTCATGCGCCCCTGTCCCCCTCCTGCCCTCAGCCGCCGCTTCTCCTCTCGCTGCTCTGCTCTGCTCTTGCCGGTGGCTGGTGCACAAGGGAGGACATGGGGATTGGCATGGGGAGGGGGATGGGCATGGTGATGGGGATAGGGAGGGGGATGGGCATGGGGATGGGCATTTGGATGGGCGTGGGGATGGGTATGGGGATGGAGATGGGCATGGGCATGGGCATGGGCATGGGCATGGGCATGGGCATGGGCAGGGGCAGGGGCATGGGCATGGGAATGGGCATGGGCAGGGGCATGGGCATGGGCATGGGCATAGGGATGGGCATGGGATTGGTATGGGGTTTGACAGCAGAGTGAGACCCGAGGTGGGTTGGAAGCAAGACGATCCAAACAGATTAACCCTTCAGTAGCTGTTCTTGGACTGGCTTCATGTAGACCCTGCTTCCATTCCATCACGCCCAATCTGCTGCTAGCAGCATCAGCACTCCTACCTACTGATTGTTGCCATACCTTTGCTGCCCCCTCCTACTCTAACACCTGCTGCTCCTCCTTCTGCTGCTGCTACTGCTGTTGCTGCTCCATCTGCCGACCCTCTCCCCTCGCTGCCATTCCCCAAACCCTCCCTTGTTGTGCCAGCATCAGTGGCACCACCAGAAGCATCATCACCATCACCACCAGCAGCAGGCGCAGTGTCAACAGAAACAGCAGCAGCAGCAGCAGCAGCAGCAGCAGCAGCAGCAGCAGCAGCAGCAGTAGCGGCTTTGGAGTGTGCAGGCGCAGCAGCAGCAACGGCGGTGGTGGCGTCCATCTTGATGGCATGGATGCATGTGAGCCCCATCTCTGCTGCCACTGCCCTTATACCCCGCACCTGTCACCATGGGGGAGTGGGGGATGGGGGAATAGGGGAATCGGGGGATGTGAGGATGGGGGAATGGGTTGTGGGGGCAACGGCTGTGGTGGCGTCCATCTTGATGGCATGGATGCATGTGAGGTAGTGTGAGCCCCATCTCCTCTGCCACTGCCCGTATGCCCCGCACCTGATGGTGCCATGGCATGGGGAATGGGAGGATGGGGGGATGGGGGAAGAGCGAGAGGGGGAATGGGGGCGATTCATGAGGACGAGAACGAGATGCCTCAAGATTCACAAGATACTGTCGACTCAAGATTCACACTGCGCCTCGGTACAATTTGAACGCTCTGCGGAGGGGCAATGGTCCATGGGAGGGGCAATGGCCCATGGGAGGGGCAATGGCCCATGGGAGGGGCAATGCATGCGGGGTAGAGGCAACAAGAAGGGAGCGCAATAAAACTGCAAGGCAGCAGGCGGCAGGCTTTCGTGGCATGGTGCGGTGGGAGGGGTGTGGTGGCGTAGTGGGGTGGTGTAGTGTGCATAGCATATTGAGGGTGTGGTGAATGCGCGCACGCGAGCAGCAAGACACCTTTTTCTGTTTTGAGGCGCCTCAAAAGACTTCTGTTGCATTGCACCAGAATGCCCTTGTGTGGGGCGCCCTACCCTACCCTACCCTACCCTACCCTACCCTACCCTACCCTACCCTACCCTACCCTACCCTACCCTACCCTACCCTACCCTACCCTACCCTTCCTACCCTACCCTACCCTACCCTACCCTGCTGCTGACTCGCACAGTAAACGTGAGGAATGAGGACAAGTGAATGAATGAGGGTGGAAGTGGTCGTGCAATGCAAGTGCATGGAGCGGCAGGCAGGCAGGACATACAGGTCACCACGATGCACCCACCCCACCCACCATTCCACCCACGTACCACCTCGCCCACGCACCCACTGTTTGTTTCCTGCCAGAAACATCGCCTCTTTCGCCCTTCACCATAGCCCTGCCGGCACTGACAGAGCGGCATTCAGCCGCCCCCCCCCCCCCCTCCCCTCCCCCCTTTGGAAGCATCACGCCACCTTGTTGTGAGAGCGGTCCAGTGCCACGACGGTGCCGGTGTCGCGCATGAGCATGGCCAGTGCTGTGGTCTTGCCGCCTGGCGCCGCACACATGTCCAACACACGCTCTCCTGGCTGGGGGTCTGGCCAAGAGAAAGGAGGAGAAGTGGGGGAGAAGAAGGTGGCGTGAGAAGAAAGGGTGACGAGAACAGGGAGGGCGCGGAACGGAGGGTTGGATGTGGAGGGGTGTGAGATGAAGGTCGCGAGGCAAGCAGTGAGGCTATGAGAGGAGAAAGGGAGGAGTGCGGGGCAGTGGTGGAGGCAAGGGGAGGGACGGCAGTGACCAGCTGAGAAACGACTTGTTGACGACTGAGATCGAGAGCGGTCACGGCATGGCATAGGCATGGGCATTGGCATGACATGACATGACATGGCATGGACATGGAATGGCATAGGCATGGGCATGGCACGCACCCAGCACTCGAGCAGTAATGATGCTGGGGAGATTCTGCAGAAACACATGGCCGCCTGGCAGGATGTCTGGATGAGTGGACGAGGGGCGCGTTGAGGAGAATGGGGAGAAAAACGGGCAGTATGGGGCAGGTGGGACAGGAAGGGACAGACAGATAACAGGCCGGAGTGAGGGAAGAAAGCGAGGCCGGAAGAGGGAGGAGAAGGGGTAGGGGAAACAGATGCAGGGAAGGCAGGGGATGCAGTGGCTTTACAGAACAGACGACTCTACGTGCATTCCTCAACGTGCAATGAGTGCGTGAAAGGGCATGGCGGTGGCAGGCTGGCTGGACGGACACAGGTTGATCACGCACCAAGGTTGGTGATAGGAAAGGATGGAAGGGGCCAAGGGAGAGGAGGAGGAGGAGGAGGAGGAGGAGGAGGAGGAGGAGGAGGAGGAGGAGGAGGAGGAGGAGGAGGAGGAGGAGGAGGAGGAGATGGAGAACGTGTGTATAATCAAGATGGTATCACAGCATCATGCAGCGCCATGCATTCCCATGTCTGCACGCATGCATGCAGTGCCAACCAGACTATTTGCGCTACACCCAACTCCCCTTCCTTATTACTGCTGCCCCTCCCAATTCGCCAACCATTGCCATGTTCCCGACCCCCCCATTATTCCTCTCCCCTTCTCGTTTCCTCCTCCCAATGTCCCCTTGCCCCATTTTGTCTGTCACATCCCCCCTGTCCTTTTCCCCCTGCCCCCTGCCCCGTGATCCCTGTCCGCTGTCCACTAACCCCCGCCCCCCTATCCACTTCCCCTGTCCCATTCCCCCATCCACTCCCTCCTCTCAACTGCCCCCTCCCAGCAGAGCAGCATCAGCAGAGCACAGCAGCGCACCATGACAGGGCGGCAGCAGGAAGGCGCGGTGGGAGAGGGCGACAGCGATGCCATGGGAGGCGCGGAACATGGCGGCCCGTGACAGCTGCGCCATGCCCTTGCCTATGAACCACCGCGACCGGTCCCGCCTCTCAAAACCTGTTGGGGGCCAGGGAGGGGCGTCAGGGCGAGGGAGGGAGGGACAGGGAGGGACAGGGAGGGACAGGGAGGGACAGGGAGGGACAGGGAGGGACAGGGAGGGGAGTACTTGAAAATGAAAAAATCACAAGCAATCATGGTGCTCAAAGCTCGTGGGGACAGAGGAGGACATGGGAGGGGCGCCTGGGACTGAACCCTGTTCAACCATGCCATTCCATACCATGCCCGGCCACCATGCACCATGCCATGCCATGCCCCACCCCATGGCGCTCCTTGCCCGTTCACCTGCACGTGTGTGAGCAGAGCCCAGCGTTGCTCCTCGAGTCAACCCCACCAACCACTCACCCCCCTCCCCGCCTCCCTCCCCTCCTCCCTCTCCCCTCTCTTCCCCATCTGTCCCTTCTATCCTCTCTTTTCCACCTCCCCTCTCTCCCACCTCTCCCGCCTCTCCCTCCGCCGCCATGCCATCCACCCGGGCTTCAATGGCCACGCACACGGCCACTGTGTCCCCTGCTTCCACACCCGGGCTGCACGCCAGCACTCCAGGCACAAACACCTGTGGGATGGATGGGCAGTTGGGCGGGTGGGCGAGTGGGTGAGACACAGCAACAGGGTCGGCAAGTCTATGATTGACGCGCGTGAAGACGAGGCTTCACGCCCGGGCTGCACGCCAGCACTCCGGGCACAAACACCTGTGGGATGGATGGGCATGGGCGGGCAATACGGGGAAAGGCAACGGGAATGGCGAGCAACGGAAGAGGGAGGGGTGCCGAGGGAGGGGAAGAGAGGGAGAGGAAATGTTGGGTGTGGGAGAAAGAGAGAGACTTCAAGGCGAATGTTGGCTGTGCTGAATGTTGGTGTTGAGTTACACTGGATTCACTTCACTTCACATTTGTGTACTTTCAAGAGAGGAAAAGCCGCAAAGCTGGAGCGTTCTGCTGTGCTGTGCTGTGCTGTGCTGTGCTGTGCCGTGCTGTGTGTGGATGGATGGGCCGTGACTCATGAGCTGACGGAGAAACACAACAGCGTTACAGCGCTTGTGAGCTCGCTGTGCCTGTTCCTGTGAGCTGCATTCCCCGCAGGTCACTCACTCACACCCACCCTCCACTTCCATGCCCCCCCCCACTCCCTCCATGCACCCCTCCCTCACATGACCCCCTTACTCACTCACATTGGCCCCTCGCAGCACAGCCTCGCCACACTTCCTGCTCACCACCACCTGCTTCATCTGCTCCATCCTCCCCTCCGACTCCCTCCCTCTGTCGTCGCCCTTCACCCCCTCCTGCTCCTTCCCCTCCCTCCCCTCCTTCCCCTTCTCCCCCTCCCCTCCCTCTCCCTTCCCCGCCGCCCCTCTCTCCGATTCCTCAACACGCCCACGCCCATCCCCACCACCACCGCCACCACTGCTGCTACCCTTGCTCTGTTCCACCGGCTCATATGACACTCTGTGAGGCCCTGTGCCCTCCACTATGATCACACCGGGTACAAGAGGATGCTCCCTGCACACCAGGCGAGCTGACGCCACGTTCCCCGCGTCAGAGTCACAATCAGCATCGGCAACAGTCGTTTCTCCCTTCCTCTCCTCTCGCTCACTTCCCCACGTTCCTTCCCTGCTCTTCGCTTCAGCCTTTTCCCCTCCTCCTCCCCTTCCCCCTCCCCCAGGATCCAGTCCCAGCGCGCCCGCGACCGCAATGAGCGCATCTTCGGTGGTTGTGCGGAGGGGGTTCACGCGCAGACACACTGACAGGGGCGGACGGCTGTGGCGGGCGGCATGGGCAGCGGAAAGGGAGAGAGAGAGGGGAGAGAAGCGGGGAAGGGATGGGGGAAAAGTGGGGAGGGAAGAGGGGAGGGGGAGATGTGTGGGGAGAGCGGGGGAGGGCAATGTGCCCGATAAAGGAAGAGGGAGGGGCGTGGCCGACGAATCGAAAAATACGGTTAGGGGATAACGAGAGAGGGGAAAAGGGGATGCTGGTGCCGGGGAGAAGAAGAGAGCGAGAGCATTTGCGGGGACACCCAAGCAACTGATATCCCAAGCAAAAGCAGCGAAAGGTGCCGTCGCAACACCTTAGCGCGGTGCAGATACGCTCGAACCGCTCCGCACCGTACGCCTGCGATAGGTACGCGCGGACGCCTGCCTGCCATTCCAACTGCGGATCGAATCGCCAGTCGCCCTCCGCCGTCGGGTCGGAAAAATCGTACGCACTATTAGTTGTTGCTTCTCCTGCTGCTCCTCCTGAAGCAAGTTTCGGTGATTGTTCCAACGGCGGTTTCGACGCTGCTGCGGACTCTCTTGCACTCCCTTCCGTGGCTTCTTTTTGACCTGAAGCAGGTGCCATGACTGGATTCTGACAGCTAAAATCTGGCCCCGTGATCAATGGAAGTTGGTATGTTTCCCGTGATCATCCATGCTGCTCGGGGTGGTTACGTGCAAACCTCCGTTAAACCCTCTGTTATCAGTTTTGTCCAAATACACGAAAGTAAAAGCCGCTGCGTATCGGGAACGTTGCTACAAAGAGTATGCTACCATTGGCTGGAACTCCAGTTTCCCGCCTGCTGACATCTGTCTCCCTTCCCACCACGTCAGTGCAGTCCTTGCATGTCAATTTCGAGCGGCGCCTTCCAGTAAAACACTCCCCTCCCCAGCTTTGGAAATGGTGAGACGGTGCCAAACATTTCTCTGAACATGACCAGCCAGCCCATCAGATGGGCTGTTTTTACATTGCTCTTCCGCTGTCCTGCGCTTAGCCGCCTCGAATGTGGTGTCTCCATAGAATGCGAGCTAATCTGGCAAGATGGACAGCTCGCTCGTGCATATTGGGTTTCCACGAATGCATATTGCCTTTCCGCAATCGTCATTCTCCTCCTCTCCTTATCACGTCGAGACGCTTCCAACATGCCGCAACCCGAACGCCCTCGTAATGAATTGCTCCTCGATAATGCCCCGCTGGCACGAGGCTTCCTGCTGACGCAGGACAATCGTCGCCGTTCGATGGTTTCGAGAATAATTCCGCCTGTCCACTTTCGCAGAATCTAAAGACGTCCCCAAAAACCCCCTTTTCAGCCCGTCAGCCACGCGGTGCGCAGACCTTGTTGTCCACTCATCCATGCCCCTGACGCCGTCCTGATCCACAACCCTTTCGTGTCCGTACGAATCACCTCATATCGAGGTCATGGGGCCCACCGAAGGTCGCGTGACGTGTCGCCACGTGGACGCAAACGGATGGTCGTCGAGCAGAGCGAAACAAGTCGCGAGGCTGTCGTATCGATCAAGCTCAGGCAAGCGTGTGGGCCTCAACTGCAACAGTCACGTGACGAAAGGCTGCGACGTTTCGCCAGGACCCATCGCACGTGACTTATATGGTTTCCCCCCGCCTAATTACTCCGCCTGCTGCTGCCGCCGTTCTGCTTGCCCAAGGAGCATCGTACGTGGACGAGAGACGACCTCCTCTCACTCGCGCCTCTACGTCTTATTGGTCGGCGCCATCAGCAGCAGCGCTTGGCGCTGGCGTCACGGGAAAAGGCGCTTCTCCGTCTTTTCTCCACAAACCGCTGTGATGTGACTGAGCCTTCACTTCGCTCCTAGTAGCACCTGAGGAATCTTGAAAGGCGAGGATCGGATTACCTAGGTCACGGATCCGGCAGATCGGCGAGTTGCATCTTCCCTACAGCAAGACGACCCGGTTATTCTTTTCGTTCCAAGGGGCATGGCGGCGTCGAGCCTCTCTACTGGAAACCAGTCTTACTACAGCACTAGTCCTCGAAACACCACTGGCACCACTACCGGCACCGTCACCACTCCCTCCACCACCACCACTCCCAGCAGCACTCCATCTGGGACCCTCAGTAGCAGCTGCAGTAGCGGCTACTACGGCAACAGCTACGGGAGCACCTGCCGTGGTGATCAGCGTAGCGATTATTACAGCTCTCCTCCTGACTATCGCCAGCAGCAACAGCAACAGCGGCAGCAGCAGCCGCTGGGGCAGCAGTCGTCGCTCAAGCCGTACCCGCTGATGCGCGTGCTAGAGGCGTCAATGATGGAATACGCCAACCGATCCCCGTCCCGTCAATCCTCCTCCTCCTCCTCCCGCCCGCCTCGCCTCAATCGGGGCTTTGGCAGCGGCGGCGGCGCCAGCAGCCGCGGGTCGTTCGCCATCCGACGCACGTGGTCGCAGGGATCCAACGGCTCTGCTTCGTCGCCGTACAGGAACAACAGCAGCACGACGCGTTCGCCCTGCGGCGGAAGCACCACACCTGTTCTGGACGAGCTTTCGCCCGGGTTGGGGTCTGGGCGACTGCTGTCGCTGGAGATGCCGAGGCACCGGATTGGTCGGCGACTGCAGAAGCACCTGAGCGATCGCATGTTCAGGGAGTCGTTCTGGAGTCCCGCGCCGCCGCGCGACTCGCTTCCCAAGCCGTTCACGTTTAAGAAGCCCGAGGGCAACGGTGCTGCTGCCAACATCTCGCTCGTTCTCGTCGCAATTCTAGCGACCGTAGGTACGTATGCTAACAATCTATCCCTCCCAAATTCCAATTCCTCCCTCCCAACTCCCCTCCACTCCCCTTTGGGCTTTTCTTTTCCTCCCCTCCCCTCATGTTCCCCCCGCTCCTCACAACGATTTGAGCGATGGTATGCTTAAATCACGGATCTCCTTCACATCAAGGTATGCTTGTACATATTGAGTTCCTGCTGATTTCGCTCTCACCCTACTCTCGTGCTGGTTATACAGAAAGATAACATGTTCGTTTCTTCTCCCCATGTCTGCCCATGTGCGCACCACAGGCATAGCCATTGCGCTGGCCATGGTGTCCATGCCACTCCTGGGGCTCATCGAGTCGTACTTCACAGGAGAACCCGCCAGCCTCCCCGCGCTCTTCCCCCACCCGTACTCCCCGTTCGCCTACATGGGTGGAGGTGGGGAGGAGTCCATGATGGTCACTGGCGGCTTTGACTCGGGCCTCAATTGGTGAGACGCGTGATGGTGATCCAGCAGCAGCCTGCCTGCACCTGCTGATATGAGGCCCCGAGGGGTTGATGACTGTAGTTTGACGAATTTTGGGTGGTGACTGCACTTTGTCACTGGTTATTTTTTCACCCAGCTGGGTTGGTCTTCCCATGTCTCCTCCTCCTCCTCCTCCTCCTCCTCCTCCTCCTCCTCCTCCTCCTCCTCCTCCTCCTCCTCCTCCTCCTCCTCCTCCTCCTCCTCCTCCTCCTCCTCCTCCTCCTCCTCCTCCTCCTACTGTCCTTCCTCACTCCACCCGTTTTCTCGGCTGTCGTCCGTCTTTTTGTTCGTTGACGTTGCCTTGTGTAACGTTGTGTGGGTAGGAGTTGTGCCGATGGGGAGAACTGCCATCTCTCCAAGGTTCTTCTAGCAGCGGCGCTTGGCTTGTCCGCGCTGCTCATCCTACTCATGTGCCTTGCGTTTTTTGTGGATAAGGTTCTATCCAGAATTCTGGGGCATACCATTCAAGGTATGCTTGTACATATTGGTGGATTGGCACGATTTCTTGAATGTGTGTTTCTTTAATTTGACATCGTTTCCTCATTACAGCTCTCACACAACATCAACTAAAAAGAAGGCCGTCAGAGAGCCATATTGGTATCGACTGGAAATTTCGGCTGTATGGCATGCGCCAAATTTGCCGCATGTGGAAAGGTGGACGAGTGGAGTTACTAGCAGGAAGTCCAGCAGACTATGAAGTGAGACATAGAGGCATGACATTCTCGTTATAGAAGATAGAAGGTATCAATCTGTTCATAGGAATTACAGTACAAGGCCCTTATGTACATTTGCATGTTTCTGACATGTAGAAATATATTCCCACCCACCCATCTGGTAGCCTGCATTCTCCATGGTGCAGATTTCGGAATCTGACATCGAAATACCTCGCAACGAAGACAAAGAAATCCATTTCCAGAGTGTCACACAGCTCCGCTATTGGCTCAGGAGTTTCGAACAATCTACATGTGCCCGAGGGGCTGCAGCGCTGTCAACAACAAGCAGACCGCGCCGGAATATGACAGGCCGTGATTGGTAAATCCTTAGTCGACGTGGCCTCCACCTGTCAGTTCCAGCTCGCCGCGCAGCGTCTGGAAGAGTTGACGACGAGGGCCAGGTCCGTGTCATGAAATCCTCAAGCTCAGCATTTGCCCCCTCCAACTCCGCGTGACTGGGAATCATCATTCCCCCATCCTCTTTTTCCTTTCATTTCTCAGATTTCAGTTTTCAGGCTGAAGCTGAAAGGCACGTTTTTCGTTGAACCCCATCAGCCAGCCAAACCCATCACCCGATCTTGAGCTTCGTCTTCCTGCACTTCGGAAGCTGACCGTGCAATCGCTGATTTCTTGAGGATCTTCTCACATTCGCTTTGAACAATGGCTCAAGCGACTTCCGTCGCGAGGCTGGACGTCACCTGCGCCGCACCAGCAAATTCCAGTGCTGCTGCCAGGCCGCAGCGACAAGAGGCGTCGCTCGTGGCGTCATGGAGGAAGGCGCGCGTCGCCAGACCGGTGGTGCTCAGTGCCAGCGCGCAGGTGCAGGCCGCCCCCCGCGTCTCTGCACGCTCCGTCGCGGTGAAGGCATCAGCAGGCTCTGCCGACGAGGTAAATCAGTCTTGACCAGTCCTGACTTGTCCGCATTGAACGGGCCCACCGCTTCGCAAACCAGCATCTTTTGTTTCTATTGTAGTGTTTTCATCGCGGACAGACGTCCTATCATTTCAACCACGACACTCGTCACTCGTCGAAGCCCATAAATTCGTACTTAGTTAAACACTGAAACTCGTGTTCTGTCTGCAATCGTCTCACCACGATGGTCCCTCATCGTTTCGCTTCGCCTCCCACGTATACGCGTACCCCTCCGCGTCCCGCGCGAGTGCAGGCGGGCGTCAAGTACCACTTCGTGGTGGCGAACGCGACGTTCATGCTGGACGAGGAGGAGCACTTCCAGGAGCAGCTCAAGGAACGGCTACGGTGGCTGGAGGAGAAGGGCACGGAGCAGAACTTCTGGCTCGTCTTCGAGCCCAAGTTCCTCGAGGAGTTCCCCGAGATCGCCAAGCGCGTCAAGAGACCCGCCGTCGCTCTCGTCTCCACCGACGCTACCTGGATCACGTAAGCCTCGTCTCTCTTTTTAACTCCCCTCTCCTCTTCTCCTTGCGCCTGTCCTTCCCTCTATTACCTCACGACCTCTCGTTCCCTCTTTTCCTCGTTCTCACATATTTTGTCGTCCTCTCCTCCTTCCCTATCCTCTAGTCCTCCTTCGCTTTCCTCTCGTCCTCTAGTTCGCTTTCCTCTCGTCCCCTCCTTTACTATCCTGTCGTCCTCTCCTCCCCTGTCCTCTCGTCCTCTCCTCTTCTGTCCTCTCCTCTATCCTCTTGTCCTCTTCTGTCCTCTCGTCCCATATTCTCTCGTCCTCTCCTCCCTATCATCTCGTCCTCTTCTCCTACCCTATCTTTTCATCCTCTCCTTCTCCCCTATCCTCTCGCCTCTCCTCCCTTATCCTCTCGCCTCTCCTCCCTTATCCTCTCGCCTCTCCTCCCTTATCCTCTCGCCTCTCCTCCCTTATCCTCTCGCCTCTCCTCCCTTATCCTCTCGCCTCTCCTCCCTTATCCTCTCGTCCTCTCCTCCTCCCTTTTCCTCTCGTCTTCTCCTCTTCCCCTATCCTCTCGTCGTCCTTCCTTTCGTCGTCCTCCTCCCCTATCCACTCGTCCTCTCCTCCCTATCCTCTCGTCCTCTCCTCCTCCTATCCTCTCGTCCCCTCCTCCTATCCTCTCGTCCCCTCCTCCTATCCTCTCGTCCCCTCCTCCTATCCTCTCGTCCTCTCCTCTTCTATCCTATCGTCCTCTTCCACTATCTCGTCCTCTCCTCCTCTCCTATCCTGTCGCCTCTCCTCCCCTATCCTCTCGTCCTCTCTTCCTCCCCTATTCTCTCGTCCTCTCCTTCTCCCCATCCTCTCGTCCTCTCCTCCTCCTCTATCCTCGTCCTCGTTCTTTCCTTTCCCTATCCTCTCGTCCTCTCCCTTCCCCTTCTCTCCTCTCCTATCCTCTCGGTCTGTCTTCATCCCCGTTCCTACTCCCTCCTTCCGTCACCCACGCGCACGCACCTCGACCTTTTGCCCTGGGGCATCTAGGTCCCGTAAACACAGGGATACATCTCGAATCAGTTGGAATCGAGCCGCTATTTAGGAACAGGACCTAATGAAGCGTATCTACTTTTTTTTTTGTGGCATTGGAGCCAATGTCGTTTCGTTATCTCAACGAAGACGGTCAGGTGTTTTGCGACCACTGTCTCAGCTTCAGATGCGGCCTTGGCTTCACTTTACAAACATTTCCCACATCCTGGTTTTATATCTTGCCTCTCATTGATCAACATTACCTCCTTTCGTACCCCCGTGCTCCCCGATCATGATCCTTCCCCGCACATCCTCTTCCCGCTCCCCGCACACTCTCGTTCCCCGCACATCCCCTTCCCGCTCCCTCCCTGCCTCCCATACTCTATGCTAGTCGAAACCAAACGGACTGTTACGGTATCTCTTTCCACAACTCGTGCGCCATCGTGCGTTTCTGGCAGGTTCATGAAGCTGCGTCTGGATCGCGTGCTCAAGGGCGAGTTCGAGGCCAGCTCACAGGACGACGCATTGGAGGGCAAGCCTTTTGACATCTCCTTCCCCAAGCCCGCCAACTGGGTCGCGCCCTACCCTAAATACGAGCCCAACTGGTGGAAGCCCTATGCCCCGGCCAAGTATGCCAAGGCCAACTAGATGGGTTTGGGTTAGGGACTGGGTGTGCTGTGCTGCGTTTGTTTCTAGGGACGTGCTAGAGATGTGCTGCAAGTGACTTATTGTCAGGCTTGACACAATTTTTGGCGTCCTTTAGATGATAGGGAAATGAATGAACTGTTGTGATGTATGTCAGCTGGAATAACTGCCTCAATTGGTTGGCTCAACGCTCAGAGCATTAGTGGAATGAGACTTTCACCTCATACGGTATTTGTAATGGATGGACATAAACTTTGGCTGCCTTTCAGTGAAGCACAGAAAAAAAACCCACACCATGGTACCGTATGCTTTCAAGAAATCCGCCTGCCTATCCAGCTTGGAACAATGCCACTCTTTTTCAAGAGATTTTCCTCCATCTCGTCCAGGCCAGGGCTCTTGCTAGGATTTGGGCCTGTCTGAAATACATGTTACGATGTGAGGCTTTATAAAAAGGCATTCCTGTCAGGAGCCGACTCTACCGAGTACGAAGATGAGGAGTCAGAAAGAGCCGAAGCGACACAGCAACCGTCAGACCAAGACCGATGCAGGCAGAAACATTTGAAGTGAAAAGAGCGGGAACAGGTTTTTTCCCGCGCCGCACGGTTTTTCGAATTCAGTTGTAATAAGGGAATGTACCCCTTAGAGCACACGGCTAGTCTAGGTCCTTTCGTATGCATGTTATATAAACCCGATGTACCGTATTCTCCCAGACATAACACCCCCCCATAATTGTACACCCCCGGGTAGCTTGTGCGGGGTGGGTGTTATGATAGACCTCGTTTCTACTATACCCCCCTTTTTTGCTGATTTTCTATAACACCCCCATTTTCTTGCGGATTCATTGTTATAGTCGTTAACGAGTAGCTGCAATACGGAAGAATATCGTGTGAATTTCTCCCTCAATGAAATTTCGCGGTACGTTCAAAGGCAATCTGCCGAGATTTGCCCCCTCCCACTATTTCTCTGTTGCCACGTGCAGATGAATCTTCCGTTGCAAATGGCAAGAGAGGTGTCACGTGGCATTTTCGTGAGGGCGATGAAGTTCGAGGCCGAAACTGACATTCGCGCCTCAGGCAGTGATGCTAAAACGACCAGCAAAACACCCACATTGACTAATTAAAAAAACACTAACACTAAAATATGCCATATGTAAAGACCCGGGTATTATGTATTTTTTTCCTATGAGGAGACTGTCAAATGTTGTAGCCTGTAGTGAGGTTTGTCTTAGGGGGTACAGAAGTTAGGGTTTGTCATATGTACCCCAACCAACATCAATGGAACATTCATTCCTCATTCTGACATGGTATCAGCTAGGTTAGGATCCTGTGGGATCCCGTTCCTCCGTTCTCCGTTCGTACCTCCCGAGCCTGATCCTACCTCTCGTTCGTACCAGTTCCGTTGTTACTGCGCCTAGTACCGAGCCTAGCGCCCTTTCTCCCCGTCGCCTAGCGCCCTTTCCCCCCCCCCCCCCCGTCGCGTCACGCCCTTTCCCCCCGTCGCCCAGCGCCCTTTCCCCCCGTCGCGTCGCGCCCGTTCCCCCCGTCGCGTCGTGCCCGCCCTTTCCCCCCCGTCCCGTCGCCCTGTCCCGTCGCGTCGCCCTAAGCCCTGGCCCGTCGCCCTACCCTAAGCCCTACCCCGTCGCCCTACCCTACGCCCTGGCCCGTCGCCCTACCCTACGCCCTGGCCCGTCGCCCTACCCTACCCCCTGGCCCGTTGCCCTACCCTACGCCCTGGCCCGACTAATTTGCCTCTTCCACCCGGTTGTTACTCGCCTGTTCGTTCGCGTTAGTTCTCACTATGGCGACTCCGCGAGTTCTTCGTTTCGACGCTGACGGTAGACCCCTTGACTTTTCCGTCTGGCTTCTTCGCGCTCGCCGTCTGTTAGAGAGTCAGGTCCAGGGGGACGAGACCCTCTGGTCGCACGCTACTGGTGACCTCCCCGAGCCCCCCGAGCCTACAGCTTTAGGCTCTGCTCCTGACGACGCTGCTACGGCTCGCTTTGCCCGTCAGCGCGCTGACCGGACGGCTTGGACGTCGCGTGACGCTGCGGCCTGCATCGCACTCAGCAGCCTCCTCCCTGAGTCCGAGGAGGTCCACTTTACTCAGGTTCGCACCGCTGCTGCGTACCTCACTGCGATTAAGGCCCGCTACTCTACTCCCGCTACTGTCTCTCTTGGCCGTCTTTTCCTCCCGTTCCTGTTTCCTGATCTCGCCTCGTTTGAGTGCTCTGCTGACTTGATCGCTCACCTCCGCTCGCTCGACGCTAGTTACCGCGCTGCTTGCACTGAGGCACAGCTTGCACTGCTTCCTCCCCCCATGGCGATTACTGTCTATTTCATCGCCACTAGCCTCCCTGACCGCCTTGCCTCCGTTCGTGACGCGCTTCTGCTGAAGCACCCTAGTGAGCTGACTATCGAGGTCCTTGAGTCTGCACTCAAGGACGTCGAGAGCAACCTTCGCTCGGTAGCTGCCGCCTCTGGTACTGTGTCCCCCCCACTCTTCCACGGGTGCACAGTCCCGCAGTTACCCACCTTCACTGCCTCTCTCGCCACTGCCGCTACTGACGCGACTGCGGCTGCTGTTACGACTGCGTCGCGGTCCCGCGGCAGGGGGGGCAAGAAAGGTGGTTCTGGTGGAGGTGGAGGCGGAGGTAGCGGAGGTAGTGGGGGTGCTGTTGCGACTGGCGGTGGTGGGAGTGCAGCGTCTAGAGAGACCCCTCGTGCAGCGGCTGGTGACTCCACTGCGCCTGCTGGTGGCGGCGACCCCCGAGCTCGTGAGTCGCCTCCTCTACTGCCGGCCCCGCTAGGTGGAGCAGCGGCGTGGTACCAGGCTCAGCGTCAGCAGCACCTTCAGCAGCAGCAGCAGCCCCTTTCCTCCCAGCAGCCTCAGCAGCAGCAGCGTCAGCAGCTGGCTCCGGGGTCGGGGCTGCGTCAGCCCCAGCGCGGTGCTGCTTACCCTCCCTGCACCTATCAGGTTCTGACAGGTCCTCGTCGGGGCCACCCTTGTGGCCGCTTTCACCCCCCTGGTCAGTGCTTTGCTCAGCTCACTGACACGGTCCGGTTGGCCTACGGGGTTGGCGGTCCTGCTCTTGACTGGCTTCCTCTGGTTCAGCACTACGGCTCCGCTCTGTGGGGCATGTCTGCTGAGCAGTTAGTTGATCTGATTGGTGCTCCTCATGCTATGTATGCTGTTGTTGACTCTAGTGTTTCTGACTCTGTTTACTCTGGTGTTGTTAGCTTAGGTGCTAGTCTTGCTCAGTTGCCTGTTGCTAGTGTAGGTTCTTGTGTAGACTCTAGACCAGCGACTACCTCAGAGGACGCTTCGCTGTCGTTCACGCTGGACTCTGGAGCCTCACACTGCTTCTTCCGTGACAGCACGACACTTACACCACTTCCTGCGCCTGTTTCTGTGGCGTTGGCTGATCCCACTACGGGACCAGTCACTGCACGTCACACTACCACTTTACCGTGTCCTGCTGCTCCCTCCGGGTCTCTCACTGGGTTTCACGTCCCCTCGTTCTCCCGGAACTTGGTGGGCGTGCGACCCCTCGTGAGTCAGCACGTGGGTGTGTGGTTTGAGCCTTCTGGAGAGACTGCGGTGTGTGTTGACGGAGACTCTTACCAGCCTCTTGCTACCTTTACTGCTGAGCCGGGCTCAGGTCTCTACACTCTTCACACTGGCCCGCGTGCGCCGCAGCAGCAGCCGCAGCAGCAGCAGCAGCAGCAGCAGCAGCAGCAGCAGCAGCCGCACCAGCGGCCGCACCAGCAGCCCCCCCTACTGCCACTGCCCCCGGTTCCCCCCCCCGTTCGGGTCCCCGCGTCTCACCAGGTTGCTTCGTCCCCCCAGGTGTCTGTGTCGTGTCAGGTTCCTACGTCTGCTCCAGTCGCTGCGTCGTGCTCCTGCCGGTCGCTTGCCCACCCCACCGTTCTGTGGCACCACCGGATGGGGCACCCGTTCCTTCCTCGTCTGCGCACTATGTCTAGTCAGCGTCTTGTCCTAGGTCTCCCACGTGTCTTGCCGTCGCTGCCGCCTTCGCTTGCGCCGCGGTGTGGTCCCTGCGTCGAGGGTCGGCTGCGCGCCACCCCTCACTCCTCCTCCCTTCGTCCGGCCACCGAGCCTTTTGAGACGCTTCACTTGGACGTCTGGGGCCCCGCCCCTTGTCTAGGCCCTGAGCGTGAGCGTTACTTTCTGGTGGTCGTTGACGACTTCTCCCGCTACACCACAGTGTTCCCTCTGGCGAAGAAGTCTGAGGTGAATTCTACGCTGATCAGGTGGTTGCTCACCACCGAGGACACTCGTGGTCGTCGTGTCAGCTGTCTCCACTCCGACCGTGGGGGTGAGTTTCGCTCCGGCATTCTCGTTGGATTCTGTCGCGAGCAGGGCATTCGTTAGTCCTGGACGCTTCCAGAGTCCCCACAGCAGAATGGGGTTGCTGAGCGCCGCATAGGCCTGGTCATGGAGATCGCCCGCACCTCCCTGACTCACGCCTGTGCCCCCCATTTTCTGTGGCCCTACGCGGTCAGGTACGCCGCGCACCAGTTGAACCTCTGGCCACGTGTCTCTCGACCAGAGGTTTCACCGACCAGTCTTTGGACAGGGTCCCCTGGTGTTGCGTCACGGTTTCGTGTCTGGGGGTGCTTGGCTCTTGTCCGCGACACCTCCGCGGACAAGCTCTCGCCTCGTGCCATCCCCTGTGTCTTCCTTGGTTTCCCTGAGGACTCCTCTGACTTCACCTTTTACCACCCTCCCTCTCACCGGTTCTTTGACTCCCGTGACGTCCGTTTCGAGGAGTCCACTCCGTACTACGTCAGGTACCCCAGTCAAGGTCTCCCGGTTCCTCCCCCCCCCCTCATCCTGACTGCCGCCCCCCCTCATGCTCCCCCGGTACAGCCTCCCCCCCCTGGTCCAGCCCCGTCAGGTGTGTCCCAGGCTACCCCTCCTCCTTCGGTAGCCCCTCCGGTACAGCCTCCCTCCCCACAGTCCTCCTCGCAGCGTGCCGCTGG